GACTGGATGCTTTGGATGCGCGAGTGCTACTTAATATGAAGATGAACACAATATGCCAACCCCTCTGCCACCAGCTCCGGAGATACGCGTTAGGGTTGCGTGCGAGACACCTCAGTGGCTTCGTCATTGTCCTTATCTGCTGAATTTCTTCCTCTTGTGCTTCAGGGCCTCTCGCTGGCTCCTTCAGTCTCCAGTGCAGACATCAGCTTTTGCATTTAAACCTTGGGGAACTCTTGCTGTCCTTTGTCAGATTTACACAAGGAGGGTTGGGGATTTTGAATATTAATTTAAGTCTGGATGGATAGTGTCATTTTGCACAAAGCCCTTTAATCTTTGGCCTGTTTGTGGAAGTAAATGATGCAGAAATTGCAGCAATTGTACCAAATTATTCTACTGCAGATTTTGGCCTGGCATCTCGCAGCATCAGGGGAGCGGAGTGGGACTGCTACTGTGGTGCTGGGAGGGTGGATGATTTTCACAGCAGAAATGCAGCTGGGGAAAACCGGCTGGAACAGAGCACAGGAAACATGGACTGAGCAACGGTCCAGAAGCAAGAAGAAGAAACAACAGTAGAAATCATTCATGAGAAGGGAGCAGGAGCTGGAGTGGATTAAGAGCAGAGCGTTGTTAAACATACTGACATCAGAGCAGAGGAGGAGTAAGATAAGCAGGGAGAACGGCTCACCAGAACGCTACAGAAAAATCTTCCGTGTGCTGGCAGCACGGCACGGGCCGGGAGTCGTGCACGAGCAAGGGCAGCGAGCCCCCGGGGAGCGAGGGGCGAGGGCCGGGGCGGCCCCACTGCAGCTCCCGCGGGCGGCAGGAGCCGTGCCCGGGCTGTCCCCAGCGCGCGTGCACCCCGGGGCGTGCCGGGACGGCGCGTGGTGCTGACAGACCCTGCTCGTCTGTGGACCTCTGGACAGGCAGCGGAAATAATTTCGAGAGATGATGAGACATCTTTATTATTGCCATGAAATTATAGGGAATTACAGTTTTAAATGGAGGTGACGGGTTTTAATCGTGTCTCTTAGAGCAAAATGAATGCTGCGCTTTCTCGAGCCTGGGAGGTTGGCTAGTCAGGGGGTCACCTCCCGCTCTGGGGGAGTTGGGGACACCGAGGGTGAAATCTGTCCGTACGGGAGCGGCTGCTGCTCCGGGCGGGCGCCCAGGGCAGCGGTGCTGGTGCACAGCGGGGCTGTGGCAGCCGCGGAGGGAGCCCGCACGCTGCGAGGAGCCGAGGCGCCCGTGCAAACCTGCGGGGTGCCAGCGGCAGGCCCCCGGGACCCGCTCTATCCAGAGCACGAATACCTGCTCTTAAACAGATTTAAAGAGGTTAATTGGGCTGGGATGTACACGGTTGCGTTACATCGCTAATGGAAATGTTGATTCAAGAAGCCACGGCTCTAGTGAATTTTGTACTACTGTAATTATTTTTAAACTTTCTTTTCGGCGCTGCTGATAGCAGCTTGGCACCATGCCTGCATGACCTGATTAAACTTACAAATTGTCAGCCTTGATCTATAGGATGCGGAAAAGATTGCTGACTGAGCATCGCTTTGGAAATTCTCGATTTAAAACAAAAATTAGAATTAAAATGTTGTTCCCAACAATACAGTACAGGAGCACTGGCGGTTTTAAACACATGCTCGGTATCCCGGCATCGGGATATCAGCCCAGTCCCTGCATGGCAAGGGGAGGTTCATTCCTTCTCGTCTGCCCTCGGTCCGTGAGCGGACAGCGGAGCGCCGTGCTGCCCGGCCGACGGGCCGCCAGAGCCTGCGCACCCGCTCCCCCGCGGCCCTTCCCGGGGCGATGCTCCCAGCTCTGTCTCCACCATGTCCCTCCTCTGATGAGAAATTCCAGCTCCACCTGTGTGGAGCCAGAGGCCACGGGCATGCGTGGAAACGGCTGCGGCCACGGGACGGGCGTGGGTGGGAGCCGCAGCACCTCCCTGCTTTTCGCCTGAGGTCTCCTGTAGCTGAGGAGCGAGTGGCAGCTTTTTCCCCAGGCGTTTTAAACCAACGCTTGGACCTCAAAGGAGGGGTGGAATCCAGTGGTGCAAGGCTCCGTAAGGGTAATGTGGTGTTTAGATCCATTTGGAAGGAAACGAGAAACAAATCAATTATTTCCAAATAAATAATGCACTTACTTTTACCACATGGTCTTGCATCAAAGCGATATAATGTACAGGACGCCAGCCTTGCGTAGATTTAGCTGTGACTCGGAAAACAACCGGAAGGTGAATGCCTCTGTCCTCGTTCGAATCCTCCTTCAATACTTGCAGTGAAGTGTTTAAAAATTCTGCAGCATCCTTTAAAGCCTCGTGGAGATGTCCCTGCTCCGTCTCGGACCCGAGAGGGTCCCGCGGCACTGTCTCGCCCCACGGCCCCTGCCTGGGCTCGGCTCACGGGGCCTGCCCGGAGGAGGGAGCCCGCTCGGGTGCCCCGCGGGGACGGAGGAAGGGCCGGGGGCAGGTCCGGTCCCCGCAGCCCCACGGGGCAGGAGGGCTCCGCGCAGGCGGGCAGCGAGCGGGCAGCGGCCGGGCGGATGCAAGAAATACTGACTCTGTTTTCTCTTGTTCTCTCTTTTCTGCCCAAGGTTTGAGCATCCGAGGAGCCCAGGAGGAAGACCCTCCCGATCCCCAGCTAATGAGACTAGACAATATGCTTCTGGCAGAAGGAGTCTCAGGTCCGGAGAAAGGTGGGGGATCGGCGGCAGCAGCTGCAGCCGCAGCAGCCTCTGGAGGGTCTTCAGATAACTCTATTGAACACTCAGATTACAGAGCCAAATTGACCCAGATCAGACAAATCTATCACACAGAGCTGGAGAAATATGAACAGGTCAGACATCAGCCTCTCAGTTGTTCATGTACCTGCCGCCGCTCTCCTCCGCACCTCCGCTTGCCAGCGCCCGCCGCTGCCCAGCTCCGGCCGTCCCCTCCTCCCCTTCCCCACCCCTCTCCCCCGTACAGAGCCGCGACGCTCCGGGAGTCCGTCGGGCTTCGAGGAGCTGCCCGTTGGACCCGGGACGCATGTCTTGCATGCCCGAGCGTTTCCTGTTGTCTGTAATGGCATAACAGCAACGCCCGAGCCCGTGTTTCTCCCCTTCGAGCCGGCCCGGAGAGGGAGAGGGGCGAGATGTCTCGCAGTGGGTGCCGCGCTGGCGCCCCGGGTGCGGTGTGGCGAGGCTGGGTCGGGCCCGCGGCGCAGGAGGGAGGCTGCGGGGCGAGGCTGGGCCGTGGCGCGGCGGCCGTAGCGGGGTGCAAGGGAGCGGGCAGCGAGGCGCCGGCACAGCGCCCGGCCGGGCCGCGCCGGGTAGGAAACACGGAAATCCCGGTTCGGGCAGGCACCGGTGCTCGGTGCCTTTGTTTGGAGCGAAGAGCGTGCTGCAGAGACCCGCGGGTTTACGTTGGTGACCCGTCCCCTTTGCCAGGCTGGTGGCACCGGGAATGTTTGCCGTGTGCTGCCGGCTGGTGCTGGGCACAGCGTGGCTGCTACCCCTGGGGTGGGGGTCTGTGCCACCCTGGTTTCCCTGTGATCCCCGGGAGACACCACTCTGCCTCCTCTCTTTTCTGGATTTGCAAGGAGCAACGGCATCAAAGGAGACGGGGGCGGGGGAAGAATGACATGAGACCCCTGGCCCTCGCAAGCCTCAAGCGATGTCTTCATTTTCCCTTCCCAGAGGTGGCCTAATAAAGCTTGTAAACCCTGAGCCTCATCAGCTCAGCGAACCTCATCAGCTGGTGGTTTCCTGAGCTGAGCCGGGGAAGTCCTGCACTTGCCCCCAGCCCATCATGGCAAAGCGTCGGGCTGTATAGACCAAAACCACAAAAGAGATGTGGAGGCAGCGATAAAACCGCTCGAAGCTCTGAGGGCAAGGAGAAGAGCGGCACCATGCCGCCCGGCTCCGCGGCTCTGCCTCGCCACACCTCCCTCCCTGCCTCACCGGCGTAAAGCAGCGCCTGGGTGCCTCGATAATGCTTTATTGGAGAGTTTCCCCTCTGCTTTGTGTGAAAACCCTCTGAAAGGTCTCTGGCTACTTTGCTTTGCTTTTTTATGCCACCAGAAAGAAAGGCAAGGTCTGCGGCAGGCCATGCCGGCACAGCCGGCCAGTGCCAGCCAAGCGTTGAGCAGCGGGTGAGAGCGATGGGGTGGTGGGGAGTGGGTGTGAGTGGGGGGACAGCATCCACGGGCACGGCCACGCAGTGTCCTACTGCAGGCGCTGGGGGACCGTGGCCGGGGTGGCACAAGGCCAGCACGAGGCTGGTGTGGCTCAGGGGCCGGTGGCACAGTGTGGTTTGGGCATTGGCAGCACGGTGTGGCTCAGGGGCCGGTGGCACTGCCTCTTCTGTGCCACCTCTTTCACTGTGTCGTTCAAGTGGTGAACAAATAACTGAGCAAATAACTGACAGGGTCTTTGTGCAAATCTCCCTTTCTCCCTCAAACACCCCCCGGCCCCCCAAGGACCCCACGTGTCCGGCGCGCACCCTTGGGCTCTCCTGGCGGGGCAGGCCCCGGCGTGCAGCCTGCAGCGCTACTCAGGGCCGTCGGATTAAGGACGTATCTTCTAAAACCACAGGGACACCAGCTGGAGACAGAGCTGGGGCCGAGGCAACGGCAGGTCGGGGCTCGCAGCCGTCTCCTGGCAAGTCTCCTTTGGCTCTAATAAGTTTAATGATGTGGGGGAAGCAGCAGCATTTTTAGCCCTGTAGCTCCATTTACAAAGGTTTCGGCTGAAATGTCACAGCCATCCGTCCACACCACGGGAAACTTTGGAGGCTGCTCAAGTGCTGCGAGGAGAAGGAGGGAGAGGTGGAGCTGATGGGAAACATGCTCGCTTCCCTGTTGGTCCTGACACCCAGCACCGTCTGCTCTACAGAAATACGGTCATTTCCCCAGCCTCGCAGCAAAGTGTCTCCTGCCGGATTGTCCAGCCAGGGCGGCGCATCGCGGGCTCCGGCGGCTGCAGGTTGCGGGGAGGTGGGGGCCGGGGGAGCAGCTCTGGGTGCGGGAGCTCCCGCTGCAGCCGGCAGCAGCGACCAGAGCAGCTTCCCAGAGACGCTTTCCAGGCAGAGTTTGATCCTGATAGTTGTTGCCAGTTAGGGGAATGCGCTCAGGAACAGAAAAAAAAAAAAAAAAAAAAAAAAAAAGGAAAAAAAGTAGAAATGGAAAGTGTGTCACGCCATCACACAGCTCTCCCCTCGCCATGCGCCGGGAGAAATGGCCGTACACAGGCAGCTCCTTCCATAATTTACAGCTGCTATAGTAGAGATGACATATTGAAAGCTATCTTCTATAATTACACTGAAATACATTTTTTGCTGTAGGCAAAAGTACTGTAAGGGTCCCAGGCCTCCCGGAGCAGCTGGGAACCTGCTTCCTGAGTTCACAGATGTCTACTGAATTCACCCCGAATTGGGGTGAAGTGTGGCTGCTCGGAAGCCGCCACCAGCCCCACGGAGCGCAGGCTGGCACCATGCCCCCCAAGACTGTTTTGGGCCATTTCCTCTCTTTTTCTTCCATTTGTCTAAGGAGTCTCGATGAAGCATTAAGGCTAGCAGGAGCGTCCCCACTCCTACAAGGTTTCTGAGCAGGTTAACAAGGCCATCACTTATAACCTGACATTATTAATAATGTCTTGGGCACCAAGCAGAGGCCTGAAAAATAGTACTGCAAAAGGGATCAAGTAGCTCGGACGCTATAAATAAACAAGAGAAAACAAGACAAAGCATCAGAGTCTTCTGAGCTTACTTCCACTCTGCTGCACTGAAGTAGCTCTGCAGAGGGGAGGTGCTGGTGAAGATAAATTAAAACCAGGCTCTCAAAGTAGCTGTAACCAAACTAAGTCTCATCAAGCAATTAAAGGAAATTCAGGGAAAGAGTTTTGCTTCTTGAAAGCAAGAGACTCAATTTAGCTTTGAAACGTCCAATTTTTGATACTATATTTGTGGAGAAATATTTCTCATAGACGAGACATATCTGAAAATATTTTTCATGCAATAGTTGCCATTTTTATTGTACTTTAAAATTGAATTCCCCGGATCTGCAGACGAGGGGGCACGTGGCAAGCTGCATGCCTTGAAATGCTCTTTCAGCGCCAAAGGCCTGGGTTCGGCTGTGCCTTTGGGACAGTCAGGGCCGCCCTCCTGCCTCGGGGAGGGAGCTGCTGCCTTTCGGTGCCTGCGTCACCTCACCCCTGCGCATCGCTCACCGGCTGTGCTGTGCCGTCACGGCTGAGCCCAGGCTTTTGCACGCTGAGGTTGTGCCGGCAGCTCCGCAGGGGCTGCGCAGGGAGGATGCGGTCCCGCTGCGGAGGGGCCGGCGGGAGCAGGTGCCGGAGCCCGGCTGCCTGCCCCGCTCTGGGCAGGGGCTGCCGCGCTGCCCGGGGGGCTCGAGCCGGCCCCGCGCTGTGCCGGGCCAGAGCTTTGGGGTGGGAGGAGGAGAAACGGGTCACCCGGCCGGGGGTGCTCGGGGCAGCGTCCCCATCTCCTCGGCGTGGCAGGAGGGGGTGGTGGCTGTCACCTCCGCGAGCTTTGCTGCCTGGAACACCAAAATAGAAGGAAAATACGCTGATGGGAAGCGAGGATGAGATGTGCTGGACTCCTTAACCTGGAGCTCGGAAAGGCTTGAGAAGGGCAGGGAGCGGCAGCTGGCGGGACGAGCCGTCGTGTCTGCGCTGGCGTGGGGAGGCGTGAGCTGGCGTGGTGTGAGCTGGCGTGGGGAGGCGTGAGCTGGCGTGGTGTGAGCTGGCGTGGGGGGGGCGTGAGCTGGCGTGGGGGGGCGTGAGCTGGCGTGGGGAGGTGTGAGCTGGTGTGGGGAGGCGTGAGCCGGCGTGGAGAGGCGTGAGCCAGTGTGAAGTGGTGTGAGCCGGCGTGGGGAGGCGTGACCTGGCATGGGGAGGCGTGAGCTGGCGTGGGGAAGCATGAGCTGGCGTGGGGAGGCGTGAGCCGGCGTGGGGAGGCGTGAGCCGGCGTGGGGAGGCGTGAGCTGGCGCAGCCTCCGCAGCGCTGTGACCTCGGTGCGCTGGGCGCTGGCAGGCGAAGGGCGTCTGCACCGGGGCTCCCCAAGCCTCACGGAGCCTCGCCGGAGCGCTGCCTCCAAACGGGTGCTGCAAGGATGTAAATTAGCCTGTAATTTACTTTCAGTAGTGTAAAGAAAAAAAAAAAATCACTTTGCCTGAAGTGTATGCATCTTTCTTAAGGGTGTACCCAGATTTTAATTATCTAAATGTAAATACTTAACGAATTTTACTTAGAGTAATGAGCTAAAGTGCACACTACATAAATGAGATGTTCTAATTAATCATGTATGAACTACTGGTTTAAAGAAAAGCTATGTGAATTCTGCGAATGTTGGGCTATTGCCAAATTGCTAATCAGCATTTGCATTCATAGATGGCTTCACTTAATAAGTTGTGAGACGTTCAGCAAATGTTATAGGAAATTATGAGTTTTTAGATGCATAAACTTTTCACTTTTAACTCTTTCCCTCACACAATCTATTGAAACGCAGGAGAATCCCTGAAAATGTAGTTGGCAGATGAATTACGTAGGTATTTTTCACCCTGGCTTTAGAGGAAAAAGGGGAGCTAGAGTCAAACAGATCGGTAACGTGTGGGGTCTGGACGAGACACCTGCAGTGTTTCCTCTGCACGATTTACTGGTGGCTGAGCATCGTGCTGGCTGCCCGTGACACTGGATGCACTGAGAGCAAAACCCTACGGTGTGACGTGGCTGGGGGGGCACTGGCACAGCACATGGGCCTCGCGCGCGTCCCAGCGCCTGGCGAGGGCTCGGGGAGCAGAGCGAGAGCCGCCGAGGCCAGCGCAGCGCCCGGCCCCTCTGCCCCTCGTTGGCACAGGGGTAGGTTAGCGCCCAAAACGTGCTGGAATACCAGGCTGGCCCCCAGGAAGGGAGAAGCCCCGTGGCCACCACGCAGCTCTGCCTAGCTGCCTGCAGTCCCGGGGTTTGTTTTTGAAAGAGAGAAGGGAGACATAAATCAGCAGAGTTCGTGGCAGCTTCCAGCCTGCGTGGGGAAGCCGGGATGCCAGCGTGGCAGCCGCTTGGTCATGCCAAGTCTCGGAGCAGGTGGCGTCTGTTGATGCAACCTGGAGAAGTTTATATCATCGTGTCCGTTCACCTGCGTAGTCGGGGACTGATAATTGATGGCTCGTCGTGCCTTCCCTCCTCCGGCACCTCGGCAGCGCGGCGCGGGCCAGGCTCGGGCCCGGCTTTGCTGAAACCCCCCTCGAAGGGGCCGCGCGCGGAGCCTCGGAGAGGCCCGGAGCTCCTCGCCCGGTGCGGGGTGCCAGCCCTGCCTGCCGCCTGCCCGGGGCTCAGCGGGCTGCGGGACAGGGAGCCCTGCCCGGGGACTGCTCGCTCGCCGCTGAGCGTGTGCCGCTGCCCGCTCGCGTCCTCCTCCTGCCCGCAGCCAGTACACACGCCGATCCCAACCTCTGCGCTCGCCTCGGTCTGGCTGGGGACGTGGGGATGCTGAAAGGGGCGCGTGGAAGGAGCTGCGCCGCGGTTGCTCTGCTCGCCTGGCTGCTGCGGGACGGTCCCGGGGCTCCCGCACAGGGTGTGTGTGATCCGATCCCGTGGCCGCGCGAGGGTCCCCCAGCACCCCCCAGCACTGCCGTACCCCCCAACAGCCGGGCCCGAGCTTGTGTCCCTGTGAGACAGCACAAAACAATTCCTAAGCCTCTCCTTCCTTCACAGGCATGTAATGAATTTACCACACATGTGATGAACCTTCTCAGAGAACAGAGCCGGACACGTCCCATTTCTCCCAAGGAGATTGAAAGGATGGTGGGCATCATTCATCGAAAATTCAGCTCCATCCAGATGCAGCTCAAACAAAGTACTTGTGAAGCAGTAATGATTTTGAGATCAAGGTTCCTCGATGCCAGGTAAGGCAGAAGCAGGTGCCCCCGGCTCTTTCTGGGGGGTGAAGGGGCAATTGCTGGGCAGCCCAGGGAGAGCCCCAGCACAAGCACAGGGCCCTCATCCTTCACCCAGTAGCTGCTGTGAAAGGGAGGGTTCCTGCACAGAGCTTTCATCCACAGCAACGTCTCTTCTGCATATTTTAGTGCAAGGATAAGGCTTGTTTACCTGCTGCTTGCTTGCTTATCTTGCTTGTCTGGCACTCATGTAGGATTTGTGCAAAGGGCCGTTTTGTCACCCTGGCAGTTACTTAAATGGCTGCTGGTCCCGATGTCTCACAACGTGAGGCCAGCCCTGCAAAACACTGACCCCGTAATGGCAGAGCCGAGTTCCCTGGGAGGGACGTGCCCGAGGGCTGCGGGTGACGCTGGGCCAGCCGCTGCGTGCCCGAGGTAGGGAGGGTGATGATGCTTCCGAGAGCCAGCTCTGCTGGCCCGTCTCCCGACAAGCCATCGCCCGCCTGGGGCGCGGGGGAAGGCAGCCCCTTCCGAACCGCGCACAGCCAGCACCCCCCGTCCCTCGGGCACCCGAGCTGGGAGCCTGTCCCCATGGCCCGCCGGCCTCCCTGGCGGGCTGCTCACTCCGCAGCTGGCAGGGAAGCACGCAGACGGGGAGGAGGAGGAGGTTTATAGGCACAGCCAGATTTGTTTGGGAGCCCTGAGGAGTTGGGGTATCGGTCCCGATCCCCAGCCCCATCCCTCTGGCAGGGCTCCCCTCCGCAGAGCGGGACCCAGGCAGCTGGCAGAGCAGGGAGGAGCAGCAGGCACCACGCTGAGCCTCCCCTCAGCAGCTAGCTCGTGCTTCACACCTGAAAGCTGTGAGGAGCTAAACAAGAGCAAAATAATTTTATTAACAAGGAGGTCACTGGCAGGTGTGGCAAATTAGGGTAATTACAAACAGTTGGAGGAAACGTCTATGGAGAGCTCCAGTAACTGCAAAAGGTAAAGCTTGCAGATGCACATTTTAAAGTGATTTCTTTAAAAAGGAGGAAGGTAAATAAGGCAAAATGAGCGGAAGCACAGTAATGAGATAAACATAGCTCTAGGGAGAGAGTCTGCCTGCTCCAGGATACAGCGTAGTTAGCAGCATCGTGATACTGCTGGAAGAGAGCGCTGGGGATTGCGCTCGGCTGCCTGCTGGCCTCGGGCGCAGGCAGTTTGATTGCAACCAGCCCTGAGGGGAAGGGAGCTCTGAAGGAAATGTTTAACCCGTGCTTTCGAGAGGATGTTCTGGGGAGAAGGAGAGCGGCCGGGGTCGGCTGGGAGGGACGGCCCCGCAGCTGTGCGGGCGCGGTGGCCTGGGTGGCCAGCAAAGCCCTGAAAGCCACTTGCACCGATTAGCTCCACGAGTGCTCCGTAAGGACACAGCAGCGCGGCCGCCCTGTCCTTTTCCCCGTGCCCACCCCAGGCAGTGGTGCAGGAGCCCCAGCACAGCGGCCGCCCTGTCCTTTTCCCCGTGCCCACCCCAGGCAGTGGTGCAGGAGCCCCAGCACAGCTGCTGCCCAAGGCAAGAAGGTTCCTTAGGCCGCTGCCAGCCCAGAGCAATGTCACCGGGAGGCTCAGCCCGGGGCGCCTGCTTGGGGGTGGGGGCAGGCTGCCCGGCTCAGCGCCCTGCCTCGCCTTTTGCTTCATCATGTTTTTCTGCCACAGCACATGACGTGGTCTGTGCCCCCCCGGGATGAGACCCCAGGCAGAGGCAGAGCCCTGCACGGCCACAGGCGGGTGTTGCAGCCCTCTGCACAATGCCCGGAGCCCTGGCAGAGGGCTACCCCAAAGGGACCAGGGCTACCGAGACGCTGTTGTGTCGCTGTGTGCTGCAGCACGGGCACGTGAAACAAGGGCTGCTTCCACCCCAGCTGACCCCGCCGAGTCCTGCTTGCATCTGGAAGAACAGCCGTGGTTTTTCTTTTCTCTCATTTCAGACGGAAAAGGCGTAACTTCAGTAAACAAGCCACAGAAATCTTGAATGAATATTTTTACTCCCACCTCAGTAACCCCTACCCCAGTGAAGAAGCCAAAGAAGAGCTGGCAAAGAAATGCAGCATCACGGTATCGCAGGTGAGCGGCGGGCGGGAGCAGGTCCCGCCCCGTGCGCCTTTGTGATCCCCCCAGATTTTGCATTGCTGACCATGATCATGTTCCGCAGGGTGATGGAACGTGGCTAAGCTCCGCAGGAAAGGCAGCGTGCCTGCGGTGCTGGGGCTGTGCTGGGGTGAAATGCGTGAGTGCAGAGGTGAAGGTAAAAATAAAAAGCCTCTGAGGTTAGCACTCTTAAGTCAGCTTTCTCTCTGTGCAGTCAGGAAGATTCCTTGCTGAGCCTTAGTGACTGTTATGAATTCGTTACAACTTACCATTATTTCTGGGGAAGGCCAGTTTATTGACAAACATATAATCTGTCTCTATAGATCAGAATTTCTTTGATTGCTTGAAGTTGTTTTTCTAAGCCAGGCAGAAATTCAACCTCTCGATACACTGAAGTGACACAAGTGGTTTCTCTGTAGCAAAAACGTATTAAGCAGATTTGCTCCTTTTATCACATATAACAGATGTTACTGTGAAGTTAATGCAAGAAAATCAGCATCTCCCCTGATCAGAAATGCACGTTGTCGTTGGCTACGGCTGCTTTCTGTACAGGGCACAGTACCTCTGCAGCGATGTTCAGGCCGATGGCACTGCTCCGTCAAGCTTTCCTTCACCAGATAGCTTCAAAAGCAAAACAACACTTTCATTTCTTGTGGTCTATACGTTTGATAGAAAACTAAATTATTCCCACAGCAAATGTGGCTCATACAGCTTGGGAAAGGTTGCGGTTGGGTGGCAGGGAAAGCTGACCAGCAGTTCCCAAGTTTTCCAGCCACCCTGTTGCGAGGGCCAGCGTGCCATCTCCTCCCAGCTCCCTCAGCTCAATATTTCAGGTCCTTTAGAGGAACAACGCCTGCGGCGAATATGTTAACTATTAATGATTCAGGCTGCAGTATTGGCATTATTAGCAATGCAACCTTTAGCTTTATAATTAAGACCTGAGTTGAGATTTACTTTTTAAGTCTCCCTTGAACGCATGAAAAATTCAGGCACTTACTGAAGACTTTCAAATGAAAGGCTGCCCAGCATCCCCAAATTTGATATTACTTAGTTGACTCTGGATGCCCCCTCAGCACAAACCCTAGCACAAGTGCCCTGCGACACGAGGGGCCAGCAGCCACGTGTGTGTGCCTGGTTCCATCCTTGCTCATCCCTCGGCACGCAGCACATACCGTGCTCTGAGTGGGGTGGGGAGCCCCTGTGCCCGGTGCCAGGGGCAGGCGAGGGGTGGGGATGGGGACAGGCTCCCAGGCCATTCATGAGTGGCTCTGGTGATGGACAGGAATTTTGGGGGGGATATTCAGTACCGAGCTCATTCCCTCTCACCCTGCTCCTCCATCACCGTTAGCATCACGCGAGCCGCCGCAGCCCTGGCAGGAACAGGGGCAGCCGTGGTGGCCACGGGGCAGCTCTTCCGAGCCCACAGGCATCCCCACAGCCGCCGTGGATGTCTGGAACCAGCCGAACAGCCCAAGAGCACACGAGTACCTTGGTCTGCAGCCTCATGTCTTGTTGCTGGTTTCAGTCCTCTTGGCACGAGGTGGTTTATAGCAATTCCTTCAGTAACTGCTGTCCAAAAATCTCCCCCCGTGAGCTGAGGCAGCCCGCTGCGTAGTTAGGAGAGGCAACGCCATCAACACCAACTTGGAGAAGGCAAAGTTGGTTGGAGAAACCAGCTCTGCTAGCAAAATGCAATCAAGAGAGATTATATGGTGAAGAGCACAACAGACCTGGTGAAGAGATGCTTTCTGTCCACCCAGTGGAAGGGGAATTGTGCTTGGCAGAGGAGGAGTTAGTGATCCTGCAGAGTGAACAGATAAAAAGCTAGATCTAGATAAGGCTGAAGGGACTGAAGGAAATTAGATGGAACATTTGAGAAGCTGTAACTGATTGCTTCTAGTGCTAATAGATCTGATTTCTTTCTTAATTATTTGTTTGATAAGATTTAATATATATGTTGCAGAATGAAATAAAAGGCAGGCAGATGGTCCAAAAATACAGCAGCAGCAGCGAGCCTGTGATGTGAATATAGGTTTGTCTCTTTAATATTTGATACAAGCAGGAATTAGTTGTTTCTTGAATCCATTAGGAAGTCTGAGTGAGCGATGGGAGTAGCTGCAGTGTGTCCTCTCTGGCATCGGGTGCGGCACCCTGAGCTTTGCAGGGTGACATTTTCCAGCCTGGAGCAAGGGCACCACTGGCCACACAACCTGGGCACTGGCCGCCAGAGATGCAGGTTTGGGGCCAGGGCCGGAGCTTCACTCTGGCAAGAGGCTGTAAATGGGCAGGAAACGCCTCTGGATGATGGGAAAGGCTGCAGACGGGGCAGTGTATCATCTCAGGGGAGAGGAGCATGTATGTGTGAGAGGGAGTGCCTGTGATCAGCTGGCTGCTTAAGTTCCTGATAAATCTGCTGTCACAGCTAGAAAATGTGAATACTAGGGATATCCTAATCTTTGATTTTCAAAGGCACTTCCAAAGGCCGCATGGTGGGACTGTGGGGTTAGTTGGTATTTACTATGTCAAACTGGGCTGGAGTTGTCTTTCTTTGTACTGAAAAACGTATGTATTTTTGAGGCCATCTAGCAGAAAAGCTCTGAGCAAGCACTGTAAAATAGCCCAGTGCACACTGCTCTGGTGGTTGGCAGCAGAAGTTGAAGGATGCAATCCAGAAATCAGGGGTGAATTGAGCAGTCATTTAAAATACTGGCAGGAATAGCATCGCATGGGATAAGCAACAGCATCCAAGCGAGTGACTGAGCTACACACCTTGCACCAGGCTTTTATGAAAAATCTCTGAGCACACGTATTTCCAGCCTCGACCAGGAGTCCCTTGGACATCGCTGTGCCTGGCACTGTGCCCTGTTTACCTCCCGTGCTACAAACGCCCTGGAGGTGCAAAGAGCTGGGAAAAAAAAAAAAAAAAAAAAAAATGTTAACCTGGAGGTTGTGGTTCATGTTAACAAGGAGGCTTTGTCCGTTTCCTGGCTAAGCCAGGCTTCCCCTGTAACCTCTCCTAACGATGATCCGAGGTGTTTCTTTCTTGTACCGTCAGTGCCTTGTAAATGCTGGGGACAGATTCATGGCAGAACATTTTCTCCCTCAAACACTTAATTAGTGAGTGTTTGGGGTCATCCTCCCTCCAGATTAAGCAGCTTCCTGGAAATCTTGCTGCCATAGCACTTTACCGAGCTGCAAAGAAAATTGTCTTCCAGAATCATTTAGTTGCAGATGGGAGATAGATGGTTCTGGTTTTGATATTGGTGTTTAAAATAATATGTAGAGAAGGTTTTTCAAGAAAAGCATAAAGACAAACTATTTATTAAGATGAACACCTAGCACAATATCATTTTTAAGAGTATGGAAAAGGTAATTCTAGGGAAAAAAATGTCCTTAACAGAGAACGTCGTCAGCTGTAATTTAGAGCTACCCGATCAGCACGTGTTTGAGGGAGATAAACTGTATCATCTGTTCTCCCCTTACCATGGCTGCGAGGCTGATGTTTTATACTTTTGCAGATGAGCCTCTTTCAGGGTGTCATGAACAACTATCAGTCTATCATATGGGCTATAGAAAGGGCATAGTCATTGCTGAAAGCGTGTCAGTGGATTACAGCAATAAAATTTTTCACTGCTTCAAACAAAAGAAGGATGTGGTTGACAAGGGAATATATTTAAAATTCTTTTAAAGAAAGAATGCAGAAGCTGGTTTTCAACACCCCTCCTGCCCCTGCTTCTTCTGTTTCTGCAAGCAGATTGACAGGGAGTGCTGTGGATATATGGGCTCTTACCCCATGATTTCATATGGGAAGCAAGGAAAGACAAACAAAAAAATGCAAACTTAATTAAATAGTTTCAAGAGGTAAAATTCTTAGTTTTAGGTCACATACCATAACTGTGCCACACTGGTTTTTAAGATTTTCTATTTTGTGCCATTTGATTAGGTGTGGATCATAAGCTGTGTGCTACAAACAGCTGGAAACACAACGGACAAATTTCTGTGATCCATAAATACGTAGTTCACTGACTGCAGCAGTGATGCTCTCGTGTCAGCTGTGTCTTCTGCAGAACGAGCACGGATTTATCCCATGAAATCAGCCAGTGCGGAGACACAAGGCAGGCCTGCCCCATCCCAAATCCCACATTAGGCATCTTGGTGATTTAAGTAATAATTTATGGTCTTTTTATTTAACATTGCAATTAACATGATAAATAAGCACAACAGTATTGTTTGAAATGTAATATACAATTAAGCCCAATTAATTAATTGGCCTTCAATGATCAGGAGGAGAAAGATGTTCATTGTTTTTTTATGTGAAGAGATAGTTTGTTTTAATGAAAAATGTGTTGTGAAGCAGCTCGCGGTGGAGGCAACTTCCATTTTTAGGGTGAGCGCGGGGCCGGGCTGTGGGTGCAGGCCCGGGTGTGGGTGCAGGCCTGGGTGTGGGTGCGGGCCCGGGTGTGGGTGCAGGCCCAGGTGTGGGTACGGGCCCGGGTGTGGGTGCAGGCCTGGGCGCAGGTGCGGGCCTGAGTGTGAACGTGGGCCCGGGTGTGGGTGCAGGCCTGGGTGCTGGTATGGGTGCAGGTGCAGGCCCGGGTGTGGGTGTGGGTGCAGGCCCGGGTGTGGGTGCGGGCCCGGGTGCGGGTGTGGGCCTGAGTGTGGGTGTGGGTGCGGGTGCAGGCCCGGGCCTGAGTGTGGGTGTGGGCCTGGGTGTGGGTGCAGGCCTGGGTGCTGGTATGGGTGCGGGTGCAGGCCCGGGTGCAGGCCCGGGTGTGGGTGCAGGCCCGGGTGTGGGTGTGGGTGTGGGCCTGGGTGTGGGCCAGGGCAGCCCAGCACCGGCATCCCGGCAGGGCCGGCACCGGCACCGGTGAACCCCGCCGGAGCCCCGCATCCAGCCCCGCGCTGGCGTGTGCCCTGGCAGGGCGCGGGGCCCTTCGCCGGGGCCAGGGCGGCGGCTGCACCACCCCGGGGGCCGCTGTGGGTCCCTGGGGGCTGCGCTCCGCCGGCGCACACGCTTCCGTCTCGGAGGTGGTTTAACATTTCTGGATGTTCATTTAGATGTGGTATGCGGGTTAAACATAACGTACGATCGCTGCTCCTCTCATTGCTTCCAATTAAACCTTGCTTGTTAGTTTAACCTCTAGGTAATCCCATCAAACAATTGATGTCAAGGAAACACTGCCCACAGTGGCTCTGGATGAGTGGCCATTAATTTTAATTGCCTTGATATTAAAGATTAAGAAGTATTGGGACTAGCAGAATGGAAACGATCTGATGTCAAGCAAATCCACTCATTGAGGCTTCCCCAGGCTGCTGGTGATATTAAAATTTTACTGTGAGAATTGAATAAACCTTTATTAGTGATGGCTGTTGTTTGATTGGTCCAGGGGTGTGCATAAACAGAGGGGTCTCACACATCCGTGGACAATACAGTTGATGTACAGAGATTCCTCAATTATGAAACTGTTAATAAAGCATAATCTGATTGTCCACAATAATTATTTGCTAGGTTTCATTAATGTATTATTGCTTCTCTGACTGACAAGGTAATATTAAGTGCAATATATAGAATACGGTGGAGGATTATCTAGGGAACAGAATGTATAAGGTACCTTTTGTATTACTGTTAAAAGCTAGAGGCTTTTCATTAATTGTGTTTAAACAAAAGCTATAGCTACACAAAATACAGCAGGATTTGTGTCCTCCCTGCAGCGGGGTGTCGTACGGAGCACAGGGGTGCGAGAGGCGCCGCTGGGCCCGTGGGGGTGCGGGGGCCCTGGGGAGCGGGGGACCCCAGCCCCTGCCTCACCCCGTGCCGGGCGGCTGCTCCCGCGCTGCAGCGATGGCCAGTAACCACCGGTGTTACTACTGGTCCCCTCCCCTTTACCTCTCTGTTGTTGCAGATGCTTTTTTGTCTCGGCAGCATTGGCCGCCGTCCATGTTACAAACTGGGTTTGTAATTTAGGAGCTCTGTTACAGCAGCTGAAGTTAAACAAAGCCACTGAGAAAGATTGTATGAACTTTTCTGAGCAGCTCCACCCGTGACCTCTGCGTGGGTTAATAGTCGGTGCCCCGTGAGCCATCTTGGCTTCAGTACAGTATCTTCAAAGGGAGATGACAGAGTGACTTTTCAGCCATTATTGATTTATATGATTCCTTTCATTTTCAGCCGACCAAACATGATTCTATGAGTGGGCTGCCAAGGTTGTTCCAGCCCAAAAATAAAGAACAATTGCTGTCGCTGCCCGCTCGCCCTCACTCAACCGGACCTTGGTCCCCCTTCAGCCGCTTTCGGGGTCTTGCACTGATTTGTTGACAAATGGCTCATAGAAGCAAGAGACAATGCTGTTCTAAACGCTACAGCAAGCTCCAGGATATGTGTCGTCATCAAAGAGCCACCCCTGGTGCATCAGTGTGCCAGCAGAGAGGCAGAGCCAGCTCATGCTCATATCCGTAGTAATGATTAACTGATCCTCGGTTACTGCTTGGTTCACTGGCGTACCTGGTAGATGGGGGCTGCGGCACACATATTTGCTGCACCAAGCATGACGTCTTGGAGGCATGATGCTTTGCCAGGCTAAGCGCTTTGTGTCCTTCACCCTTCCCACCTCTCCCCACTGCAGGTGTCCAACTGGTTTGGCAATAAGAGAATCAGGTACAAGAAGAACATCGGGAAGTTCCAGGAAGAAGCCAATCTCTACGCCGCAAAGACGGCTGTGACCGCAGCGCACGCCGTGGCCGCGGCCGTCCAGAACAACCAGACAAACTCCCCCACCACACCAAACTCTGGTACGTACCCGGCCGATGCCATGAAGCACCCCGAAGGGCAGTCCGTGAAGGAAGACCCTCGATGGGCGCCCCAGTGAGTTCGGTCGGGCCGAGGAGGCTGCAGCTCCCTCGCAGACGTAGTCGTGGCCCGGGGAGCAGCACCAAAGCCCACGGGCCTCGGGGCTGGACCAGTGCAGGGGCTGAGCGCTGCCGCGGGTGGGCTCGGCGGAGAAGCTCCCGCGGCTTCTTGGGCGAGCGGAGCGGGGCCCGTGGCACTCCCGCAGCGGTAGCGTCTGCCTGGCTCGGGCTTCTGGCAGCTTCTTTGTTTCCGTAGTTATTTTAAGCTTTCTCTCATTCAGTGAAAGTAACATAAAATAAGATGAGACAGAGCTCCAAGTCTGTTTTTGTAGAGCTGTTAAATTTATTGTCAAGATAAGAACAAAATAGAGGAATATTTTAGCATGCACTAATTAGAATTTAAACTCTGGGCTGCTTGAAATGGAGTTGGTATTATATACAGGAATCTAAGGATGCAGCTTTTATTTTGGAGTTGCTCTACCATGTGTTCTTCTGCAATATTTAAAAATTGTCTCGCTAGTGCGTTGTTGACATTTTGCAAATCTAAGCATTAAATTAGTAGGGGGAGTGTGTAAAGAGGAAGTCGCTTTTTTGGGCTCCAGAGGCGAAGGTTTCCATGAAGCACAGATGTGTTTGACACTATTTAGAGTGAAGTTTCGCTGCGACTTAGTTGTAGACAACTTTTAAAGGGTATAAAGATCCATGGGAAAAAAAAAAAAACAACACTTTAATCGAAAGAAAGTAAGAAGGAGGTTCCTCCTCTGACGGTAATAAATCCGCTAATTAGAAATTACCAGCCATTTCCTTTTGAAGGAGACATTAAGCACAGCCTCCGAACGAGTTCTCCTCCGCGTGTTTGGTGATGGCACCTCACAATGAAGCGAGGCGCTGGAGGAAGGCTCTCGGCACGCAGACCTCTCGTTGGACAGGCTGAGCCGGGTGGCACGGGGCTGGCAGGCTTTCCCAGTGCGGCGGCGAGAGGCGGCAGCGGCCCCCCGGGACGCGCCGAGCCGGGGGGCGGGGGGCCGGCGGCTTCCCCTCTGCTGCGCGCTGCCTTTCCTTCTCCTCTCCTGTCGTCTTCTCCTTCCCCTGCCCTCAGGTCTCTGGGGTTATATATTTGCAGCTCTCTGTTATTCAGCTACCTAACTCTTTCCTTTCCAGGTTCTTCTGGTTCTTTTAACCTCCCAAATTCTGGGGACATGTTCATGAACATGCAGAGTCTGAATGGGGATTCTTACCAGGGGTCCCAAGTCGGAGCCAATGTGCAGTCACAGGTAGGAGAAATGCCCCAAAGTAGGGCCTTTCTAGCAGGGTAGGGTTTGGGCTAAAAATTCCACCTTACTCTGGCTCTATTAAATGGTCTGTGCCTCGCTGCAGAGTGGAGGCTGCATATTTCTGAATGTGACCTATTCTTACCCCAGCATTGAATTTCACAAATATAAAGGAAAGAGTGATTTTTTTCTGATTGAAATTTTAAGCTTTGTGAATGCATTCGGCTCTGGCTTGAGCTCATGGAATGGGATTGGGTGCGTCTGACTTCCATGGACACTGTAAACCCAGTGAATTTTCTTTCTTTTTTCCTTTTCCTTTTTTCTTTTTTTTCTTTTTTTTTTCCTTTTTTTTTTTCTTTTTTTTTTTTTTAAATCCAAAACCAAAACATCTTTCTTTCATTTATTGGACAAACTTTTATTTATTCATTTATTTAAATGTCAGAACACATCTAACTGAGCTATTAAAATACAACTCATTCTCAGCCACTGTTCCAGTCCTTTCAGACAGGGCTAACTCCATGTTTTATATGCAGTATATACGCCATAATCTCTTCCCATACATGCAAGCACATACAGACGTATAAATATGCACAGCACTTTGCTGCAGACACTTAAGAAGGACCTACAGGACGCACTGCTGTGAGGAAGTTGTTGTTTGGCTGGTGTGAGAAGCAAAGATGTATGGTTTTTAACATGCAAGGATTTGTTGAAATTCTGTCAGTCATTCTTGATTGATAAATTTGCCTTTCATAGAAGATGCTAAACCCTTTTGGCTCACATAATTCAAAATGTTGGCTATTGTAAGTGATGATGTTTTAATAGATTTGGAATGATGAATTTTGTTTCCCCTTACTTTAAGGT